ATGGGCCCAAGAGACATTGAACAGACATGGATACCTAACAGCCAACCCATAAACATCTCAGTGGAAAAATAACCAAGAGGTCAACAGAAGGGTTTATTCATCATGCTGGCCTGTTAAGAAGTCTTCAGGGTTTGGTGGAAATACATAATGCTTATTTACACAATTTTGGCATGCAAAATAAATAACCACATTCAAATTTACCATGACGATTATGGACATGCAAATCTGAAACCAATGCTACCATAATATTAGAACAAACTTGAATGTCTCTAAAAAATAAAATGCCATGAACCTAACGTTGGTAAATCCAGAGACTAGTTCATACATGGAAGCATTATCATAGCCTAGTAACTTAAATGTTGCTTCCCAGAAAAAATGTATATCAATGGATTTTAACGGCTCTTGCCATTCAAACACACACTATGGGGCAGTGATCCGAAGAGAAATTTGACAATAAAAATGTTATGCTAATGCTAATTAGCATGCTAATGTTGCTATACTACCCCTTGCCTTTGTGGCAACTCTCATTTTCACACAAAAACAAAAAAATTGAGCTTGCATAGCTAGAAGAGTCTGCATACTTGCATAGTAGGGCTGGGCGGTATGACGATATTACCATGGTATACAATATCTATGTTAGAGATTTTGCTGTATCGTGTATATAACAATATGTAAATACATTGCACTACTGACACTTCAGTGAAATGCATGAATGAGAAAGAGCAGGATGTGCTTCATGTTAAAAAAGTTATAAGCACAATATATCCTTAAAAGGAACACGGGCGGTGCTGGTGCTGACTGGCACACAGCCAAAGCACGTGGACAGAAAGCTGCCTCTCTCAGAAGGTGATATTTTGGATGCGCTTGATGTTAAAAAAAGCACAATAACTTAATAATCAACAATCACAATAAGCAGTGAAAAAGAACAATGAAGCAAATGCACAAAACGCAGCATCTCTCAGCATGCAATCGCGAATTCAACACGTCTTATTACACTTGAATGGTCGAATACACACATTATTATGCCAAATCACCCATCGTAGAGTATTTATATAAAAAAAGACGGTTATTGTATTGTCTCAAGTGAAAGTATGGGTGTAAACTGGATGTGCATCAGTATAATGGATCCGTTTGTGTGTTTGGTCTTAAAGTGACAGCAGCCTAATATACCTTCTGCTCTGTGTCAATATTGTGAATCCAACAAAACAGAAATATAAGAAATAAATTAATAATTTTATAAGAAAATAAGTGTGGCGAGCAGGACGAGGCTGAGGGCCATGAGAGAGTGGCACGAGGCCCGTGGTGTGATT